CCGGCAGGGGTAATGTCCGCCCCTCGTATCGACGGAGAAAGTCTCGATACGCCAATTCCTCCGTGAACTTCACTATCGCTCGACGTGCCGTCACCAGCTCGACTCCATAAATGCTTATCACAGGGATATGAAGCAACTCACACACCAGCGCTATCTCTGGGTACCCAGCCCGGCCGGAAAATTCGAGGCCCACAGACTGAGCCCGCAGTACAGGGGTGAGAGGGACCCCCATCGTGAACTCCACGTCAGCACAGGCGGGCAGAGACACACGCCCATAATCGGCCAAAATGGCAAACAACCACCAACTGCCAGAGAGAGCAGTGAACACGTCCACCCTCCACGACAGCTAGCAGTCCACTCAGTGAATGAGAAGTGGTACGTGTTAGCGTCTAGTCATCCATGGCACAATGGCGTCGTTTGGCGTCTTCTTCCCCAACTCGGCTGTTGACGCAATCATCAGCATGGTTCAGAATTCGGCATTATCGACTTAGGTAAGTAGCCCTTAGATTTGTTTGTTATTTAATCAAGTCCAGTTCTAAAGAGTACTTTTTTTTATCAAATTTAACTATTAGACCTGAGGTTTTATGATTTCACAAGAGAAATATTGTGTGTAAATAGCAGATTTTCTTATGTGGCAACATCCTATTTTCTTTGAGAAGCCACTAAACATAGTTCCTTCAGTGATTCTCTTAAGATTATTAGTGGTTAGTACGATTAGTATGTTCTTGACATAACCATTTTGGTTTGGTATGTTAGAGGTTAATAATTTCGTATGTTCCTGACACAACAGCATTTCCTTTGTGCCAGGTTTAAATATAGTGGGTCAAAAATTTTCCGACAGATCAATCAAGTTACTGAAATTCATGGTAAAGAAACTAGTGATTATTAGAGGGGTTTATTTTCTACAACATTTCGTTCCACTCTGGAACATCTTCAAGTAAGGAATGAATATACAAGGTGCCAATATATCGTAAAAACATATGTGGAAGAGGTGAAGCCTCCTACGGTGAAGAGAAGGTTGGAAGGAATCTAGGGGTATTCAAACATGAGGTAAGGAATAGAGGAATAATGAGGATGGATGCCAATCAAACACTGGGTAAGGCGTGGGCGGGAGGACTTGGTAGAGTTGTCTGGTGCTGTATAGTGAGGTCTGGATCTGAGCGTAGGCAAGGTATGGAAGTATTACTCTGAATATTTAAGGTGGGTCTTTTTTTCTTTTATGAATATAGCTTTCGGTGTTTACAGTCTTTTCTGGTCAGCTGTGGATGCCCAGATTGTTGTATTATCCAGCATCATGTTACTAATGAATGTTGTGTTATGTACGCTATGCGTATAGTTTTTAGCAGTACCAGCTTAAAGATGGCATGTCAGCCTTCTCGAAAGTTTTGTGGTGGTCATACCAGTATCAGTAGATTGAAGGTGGCACCTTTCATTGGGGCGTGGAAATTGGTATACCTCGTTTTTTTTCTGGAAAAGAGCTTTGTATATTGGGGCTGTTCTTAAGTATTAAATCATCAGTCCTTCTTTTGCAGTAAATAATAAATTCCAGTCTGTGGTATGGGCTGTCTGTTTCAGTTTTGGGCTTTCTTTAGTTTTGTATTGTGAGCTATTAGTGGATTTGTAATAAGGTTTTATGGGAGGGGTTGTTTGCTGTTGTTTGTTCTCTGTTATACTCTCTCCCTCCCTCACATGCCCTCTACCTCTCTCCCTCCCTCCCTCCTTCCTTCCTTCCTTCCTTCTTTCCTTCCTTCCTTCCTCCTTCTTTCCTTCCTTCCTTCCTTCCTTCCTTCCTTCCTTCCTTCCTTCCTTCCTTCCTTCCTTCCTTCCTTTTCCATTTTCTCTTACAGCTGGCAAAAGATACTAGAGTAACAGTCAACGTTATCAACGTTGAATCAAAGTATAAAACAGCTGAACAGAATTGCTTTAAGCATATGAACAATTAAAGACTCATTTCACACTTCAAAGGAGTCTCTGGGATTCGGGATATTAAAGGATGAGGCGAATGGGTTGACACCAGCCACCCTACGACTCGCCCTATGACCCGCCCTAAGATCCACCCTACGACCCGACCTATGACCCGCCATAAGGCCTGCCCTACGACCCACCCTATGACCGACTTACGACCTTCCCTACGACCCGCCCTACTACCTGCCCTATGACTCACCCTACGGTCCACCCTACGACCCGCCCTATGACCTGACCTACGTCCCACTGTACGACACGCCCTACGACCTACCTTACGACCCGCCCTACGACCAACCCTACGACCTGCTCTACGACCCGACCTACGACCAACCCTACGACCTGCCCAACGTCCCACTCTACGACCCTCCCTACGACCTGTCCTACAATCCTCCCAACGTCTCGTCTTTAGACCCACCCCACGAGCCTGTCTAAGACCTGCCCTTCGACCCTCCCTACGAGCCTCCCTACGACCTGCCCTTCACCCTCCCTACGAGCCTCCCTACGACTTGCCTTTTACCCTCCCTACGAGCCTCCCTACGCTTTGCCCTTCATCCTCCCTACGTCCTGCCCTTCACCCTCCCAACGAGCCTCCCTACGACCTGCCCTTCACCCTCCCTACAAGCCTCCCTACGACCTGCCCTTCACCCTCCCTACAAGCCTCCCTACGACTTGCCCTTTACCCTCCCTATGACCTGCCCTTCACCCTCCCTGCGACCTGCGCTTCGATCCTCCCTACAAGCCTCCCTACGACTTGCCCTTCACCCTCCCTACAAGCCTCCCTACGACCTGCCCTTCACTATCCCTACGAGCCTCCCTACGACCTTCCCTTCACCCTCCCTACAAGCCTCCCTACGACCTGCCCTTCACCCTCCCTACGAGCCTCCCTACGATTTGCCCCTTCATCCTCCCTACCACTTGCCCTTCACCCTCCCTACAAGCCTCCCTACGACCTGCCCTTCACTATCCCTACAAGCCTCCCTACGACCTGCCCTTCACCCTCCCTACAAGCCTCCCTACGACCTGCCCTTCACCCTCCCTACGAGCCTCCCTACGACTTGCCCTTTACCCTCCCTACGAGCCTCCCTACGACCTGCCCTTCACCCTCCCTACGAGCCTCCCTACGACTTGCCCTTTACCCTCCCTACGAGCCTCCCTACGACCTGCCCTTCACCCTCCCTACGACCTGCCCTTCACCCTCCCTACAAGCCTCCCTACGACCTGCCCTTCACCCTCCCTACAAGCCTCCCTACGACTTGCCTTTCACCCTCCCTACGAGCCTCCCTACGACCTGCCCTTCACCCTCCCTACAAGCCTCCCTACGACCTGCCCTTCACTATCCCTACGAGCCTCCCTACGACCTTCCCTTCACCCTCCCTGCGACCTGCCCTTCACCCTCCCTACAAGCCTCCCTATGACTTGCCCTTCACCTTCCCTACGACCTGCCCTTCACCCTCCTTACAAGCCTCCCTAAGACCTGCCCTTCACCTTCCCTACGACCTGCCCTTCACCCTCCATACAAGCCTCCCTACGACCTGCCCTTCACCCTCCCTGCGACCTGCCCTTCACCCTCCCTACGACCTGCCCTTCACCCTCCCTACAAGCCTCCCTACGACCTGCCCTTCACCCTCCCTGCGACCTGCCCTTCACCCTCCCTACAAGCCTTCCTACGACCTGCCCTTCACCCTCCCTACGACCTGCCCTTCACCCTCCCTACGACCTGCCCTTCACCCTCCCTACGACCTGCCCTTCACCCTCCCTACGACCTGCCCTTCACCCTCCCTACGACCTGCCCTTCACCCTCCCTGCGACCTGCCCTTCACCCTCCCTACAAGCCTCCCTACGACCTGCCCTTCACCCTCCCTGCGACCTGCTCTTCACCCTCCCTACAAGCCTCCCTACGATCTGCCCTTCGACCCTCCCTACGACCCGCCCTACAACTCTGTTACGACCACGCATACACCAGTATGATCATACTGTGTCTGGTGTATGTGTTCAAACTGTATAGTGATATCCTTGTTGATAAGCCTAGTATCACATGTATTATTATATGCATATAATCTCCTTTTGACAATACCTTAATATACATTACGTATTGCCATTGTATGTTTAACATACCTATGCATATTATATAATAGTACGAACTGTATGTGCCATGTATTTGTGGATATATTAGAAGTTGAGTAAATAACAGATGCCTAATGTCCTGAAGTTTGGAAAACACCATTATGTGCCTATAATATGGAATGCTATGTATTGCTGTATAGGACATGCTATGTTTATTACGATGTAGAATGTATACATTTAGATACCAAATGTATGAATATCATGTATACTGTGAAATATCAATTGCATTACTGTTCAATGCATTAGCTCTTGTCATGTTGTTAACTGATATTCTGATACTGTGAGATGTATACCACGGAGGTTAGGCTTTGGTACTTATATTGGTATATGATGCTTTACTTGTATTCATGTATACTTATGTATTACGGGTGACCGGTAACGTCTTGAAATCTTCCCTTAACCCGCCCCTTCCCCCCTCCCACCTTTGCTTACCGTCTCCAGCCAGTGTTACCATATCTCGCAGATATGAATTCTCTGTTGACTTATTTATATATCATGATATATAATTTTCTTATGTATTGATTCATTTATATGTATTCTCATGTAAAGTTGTTTATTCAGTACTGTTGTGATTTAGGACTTATTGATTGATAAATGGTTTGATATAAGCTTGAGAGATTTGAAGGATAAGTTTCGGTTGATTTGGCGAGTTGGAAATAGTGTGTTGAGCGGCCCCGCCCGGCCCAGCGCCGTCACTACTCTTTGAGCTCCCCAGACAGGTGGATGTGTTGTCGCCCAGCTCTGTTTTTAGTGGCTTTTTGTGTTTATTGACTACTAGGATATATAAGATTATGTGGTAGTAGTTGCCATGGATCAGTTCTACCGTTGTACATCATTTATGCCAGGTAGTAGGTGCTTTTACATGTATGTTTTGAGGTGGATACATGAGGATCTTAAATGATGCCATTGTCCTGTGTTATTTTCTTGATTCCTCAACCTCACTGGTTAATGTGACACCACCATCCTGTAATTATATTTGCAGCATACTAGGGGCTAGGGTACTACTGCTCTAGGATAAAGCCTGGTGTCTGCTAGTGCCGAGGGTATGCATTTTTCAGGCCTGTTGATGGTTTCGAAGAGCTTTACGAAGGTGCATAATGTGATAGAATGTGATTGGTAGAGAACTGTAGTTTTCTTATTGTTTCATAGTGACCTATGTCATATACCCCAGTAAACTGGAATATTTTTGCTAGCCTTTATTTAAACCTTAGACAATTATTGACTTTGGCCAGGCTATGGATTCCAGTGATGCTGTGGAGCATAAGGTCATGACGGACCCACCCTACGACCCAAGGTATACATTCACTGATCACCCTAAACAGTTTGGTAAGTCTAGCTACAAGCAGCTGGTGCTGATCCTAGAGCTGACATACAGACAGACATAAGCCTTTTATAGATATACATGTTTATATTCACAGTCTTGCTCTGCCTTGTGGTCCCAGTCGTCCTCAGCCTTGTGGTCCCAGTCGTCCTCAGCCTTGTGGTCCCAGTCGTCTTCAGCCTTGTGGTCCCAGTCGTCCTCAGCCTTGTGGTCCCAGTCGTCCTCAGCCTTGTGGTCCCAGTCGTCCTCAGCCTAGTGGTCCCAGTCGTCCTCAGCCTAGTGGTCCCAGTCGTCCTCAGCCTTGTGGTCCCAGTCGTCCTTAGCCTAGTGGTCCCAGTCGTTCTCAGCCTTGTGGTCCTAGTCGTCCTCAGCCTTGTGGTCCCAGTCGTCCTCAGCCTTGTGGTCCCAGTCGTCCTCAGCCTAGTGGTCCCAGTCGTCTTCAGCCTAGTGGTCCCAGTCGTCCTCAGCCTTGTGGTCCCAGTCGTCCTCAGCCTTGTGGTCCCAGTCGTCCTCAGCCTTGTGGTCCCAGTCGTCCTCAGCCTTGTGGTCCCAGTCGTCCTCAGCCTAGTGGTCCCAGTCGTCCTCAGCTTTGTGGTCCCAGTCGTCCTCAGCCTAGTGGTCCCAGTCGTCCTCAGCCTTGTGGTCCCAGTCGTCCTCAGCCTAGTGGTCCCAGTCGTCCTCAGCCTTGTGGTCCCAGTCGTCCTCAACCTTGTGGTAAGAGTCTATACTCTGTGGTCGGAGTTAAAATCTTGGGTAATGTGTAGTGTAGCAGTGAAGGCCCCGCGAGGTGAGAACCTCCGTGACCAGCACCACGAGACTCGCGGCCATCCCTCCCGTCAGGACCACGAACATTCCCTGAAAATAAATATTAAACAATAAACAAACAAAAAAGAACTTTCTGAATTGTTAGAATATATTTATGAGTAGAGGCATATCTATAAGGTCTCACTTATATTTGTATAAGAATATTTTGAATTGTTGTTAACAGTCAAGTTCTTTATACTGAACAAGTGAAGGCAGATTATTATGTTTATACTCAAGTGTTGCAAGTACTGTGTCACGTTACCCAGAGGTTTGTGAGGTTAAGAGAATTCTGGACGGCGTATTTTAGAGGCGGACGAAGACACACCGTCGAGTTGGGAACACTTGTCTTAAACCAACGCTCAAAAATCCCGAACTCCACCAAGGCCAACATTCTGTGTCAGGCGAGCCCACAGGTTCATCAGTGATAATCCACCACAAGGTTTAAAAATATGATTTTTGTTTGTATAGAAAACACAATAGCTATCAAAAGGACTGTGCGAGTGTGTTTTATATTGTATGTGTGTGTGTACTCACTAAAATACGATTACAGGGTCGAGTTAAGCTCCTGGCCCCATCTTCCGGAAGTTCTTTGATTAATGCAGTGACTCATTTCTGACGCTTTTATCTTATTTATATATATTATATGAAATCGAATTTGCTTCCACGAATTCTGCATCTAACCTATTCCATTTATTGACAGCTCTAATACTGAAAACGTTTCTCCTGATGTCTTTATGACGACTCATTTGGGTCTCTAATTTTCATCAATGACCCCTCGTTCAACTGCTCCTAGTTCTGAACATTGATGCGTTGTCTACCTTGTATATTTTCCTTACAGCCTTATATGTTATCTTATCCCCCTTCTAGCTCTCTACAATCCTATATATTCTTCCCATTGTGAGTTCTTCCATGCTGCTCCTTGACCTAGTTATGCTTCCTGTGTCAGTCATTGCAAAGTAGACTACTTAAAGCAGAATGTGTGCCAATTACCTTACCCTTCCTGTCAGCACCATAGGTGGGCAATTCTCATTACGTCATCCTCAAAGTCTTTCCATTTCTTCATTCACACTCCATCAGCTTTGTCAGTTGCTCTTTTCACATATCAAATCACAGGATCCCCTTAATGATACATATTGTCCCTTCTCACGCACTCTCCAAGTTGACACTTCTACCTCAGTTGATGTGTGAGTGAACTCACCTAGTTGTGCTTGTGGGGGTTGAGCTTCGGCTCTTTGGTCCCGCCGCTCAACTGGCAGTCAACTGGTGTTCAGATTCCTGAGCCTATTGGCCTCTATCATATCTACATTTGTAACTGTTTAGAGAGTCTGCCTTCCCCACATCACTACCTAAGGCATTTTATTTGTTAACTATCCTGACACTGAAAAAAATATTTATAATTAAGAGTGGAGGAGAGTAAGCAGGTATTTGTGTGTGGAGCCTGCTAGACGTCTTTGTGTGTATAAGTCAGGAGGAGAGAAGCTGTGTGAGGCAGCCCCCATGTGATTTTGTTGAACGTCCGAGAGTGACGCCATCTTGGAATGCCAGAGTGAGTGCCCCCACTTCCTGAATTTTGTGACAAGCTCATTTAATTAGTTGATACAATAATTGCCAGTGCTTGATCGTGTGTCCAGCAATCATAGAGAGCGTATTTGAATATATGATGGATATTTTCGTGAGGCAGTGAGCTAATATAAGGAATTAAGAGATAAGTGGACAGGCTGGAGAGAGGAGCAGCACATTCTCACTCGCTGAAGGTTTGTGGGCGACTGAGGGGGCAGAGAACCTGGGCAGCCGGCCCGGGTTGATTTCAGTGTGGACCCATCCGGATGGGGGAGGACCCATCTCAGTGAGACTGGTGAAGAGTGAAATGTCGAATGGCGATATTAATGTAAATATATATTATTATTTTTGTGTGGTTAGGACAAAACTTTATTATGGATTGGTAATGAAATTACAGGCTTGTATGGGGGAAAGTAAATGAAGGAACTTTGCATCTGAAGAAGATTATGTGGTGAACTTCATTTGGGACCTGAACTGCAAGTGTGGAGCAGGATTTCAAAGACGTAGAACTCCATTGATATAGTGGAACTTCGAGTGTAGGGGAGCTACACGTTTCTTTTATGAAGCCGTTTTGACGAGCTTCACTGACATTGGAGTGGGACTTCTTGTGCAGCAGATTGGAAGAACTGCAGGAGTACCTACCTAAGTTGGGAGACCCAGATAGATGTTCTTAATAATGAGCCTCGAGGAATAGAACAGAGAATCATATGGACACTGTGATGTATGAGGGAGTGCTTTATTGCATATTGACACGAAAGGCGCAGTGTGAGATGGGAGATTGATTTCTTATTTTGTTGGAGATATATAAAGTTGTACTAGGAAGTACAGTCCCAAGCAGTGAGGGAGGCAGTAGGTTGTGAGCTGAAGATTGAGCAGCAGCCTAATACGGTTTATGGATGGAGATCTGAGATATATTGGAGTGTTATCGGTTGGTAGCAGCCTAGGAGGTGGCATTGGTGCTGCACTGAAATATTACTTGTGTATATTTTGTCTGTTTTTATATAATAAATGTTTGTTTGCTAACAGCTGGATTTTGCTCTTGTTCTGGTGAGGCTTTCTGGATAGTACGAGAGAGAGACACGGCTGGGTGACAGTGTACAATAACTCACTAAGGAAGATTTGGGAGATCATCCCGTGACAAGGAGAGTGTAGGGGGGAGTCATGGCGGCTCGAGTGGGTGTGTACGCAAGACAACTAGGCCAGTTAGAAGCCGCACCCCTCAATAAAGGTGACGCTGAACCCCTCTCCAAGAACAAGACGCTTACATGGTGATCTCCCAATTAATTGCAAGCACTCCAGTGTCCATTGCTGTTGACTGACGGCAGCAGGAGTGTGGCTGCCATGGTCGGTCGTATTTCTATCAGGGAGTGATTTAGATCTCTGCTCATCGGTAAGCAAATATCAGTTTGGTTTAATAACCAGCTTTTTGTAAAATCCCCAAACTCCCGATATAAGCCAGTCTTATATTGGGTGTTTGGGGATTTTCTTTTCCTTTTTTCGATCCCTTCCTTGGATAGGTTATCCCTACTTCCACCAGATACTCAAATGTAAATATGCTGTGGTCACTCATTCTAATGGGCTCTTCTAATTTGACTTCCCTTATGTCTGACTTATTCAAGGTGAATATCAGGTCGAGTCAAGCTAGTTCATCGTTATATCTCATTCTTGTGGGTCCCTTGACATGTTGCCTCAGAAAGTTTCATTTTTCCATGTTGATAGTTTAGTTATCCACGTATCTTTACCTCCATATGCTTTTCCATTTTCCCAGTCTATCTTTCCATGGTTGAAGTCTTCATGATTAAGTGTCTGGATTCATTCTTGGATCCAGACACTTTATCCAACTGAAGCTGCTCTCTCTATTATATTAATGGCTGCCTTGTGGTTTCCATCAAACTCCTGTATGGGTCTTATGTTATTTAATTGATGGTTGTAAATTACTGCTACTATTATCTGTTCTGTAGTGTCTGAATCCTTCACTACCCGGCATATCTTCGAAACTTCAGGATCCACAAAACTCCGTTTGTGTGTGTGTACATACCTAGATGCACTCACCTAGATGTGCTTGCAGAGTCAAACTAGGCTCGTAGCCACGCCTTCCAAACGTTTTTAGTTTAATGCAATGATTCATTTCACACGTTTTTATCATATTTACATGTAAAACTTTGAATTAAATTAAGTTCTACACTTCTACTTCTAACCTATTCCAGTTATTGACAGCTCAAGCACTGAAAATGTTCTTTCTGATGTCTTTGTGACTCATTTGCGTCTCTAGTTTCCACCTATGACCCTCGTTCTCCTATTCCTAGTTCAGAACACTGCTGCTTTGTGTACCTTGTCAGTTTTCCTTGCAACCTTATATGTTCTTATTATATCCTTCTTTATCTCTCTTTTTCTCCATTTCTCTCATTCTTTCCTTATAGCTGAATTCCTTCATCTCTGAAACGTGTCTCTTTGCATATCTTTGAACGTTTTTTAGTTTCTCCTTGCCCTATATTCAAGTAAAGGTTCCATACAGGGAATGCATATTCAAGATTGTGTCTCATCTTCGCTGTGTATAAGGCCCATAAAACCCCCTTTGTCCAAATTTCTGACGGATATATGGACATTGGCCAGAGTGCAATATACAGCTGTTGTTATTCTGCCAATGTGGGATTCTGGCATTAGATCTGGGGTTATGTCCACTCCCAGGTATTTCTTCTTTTCTGATTTCTCTTTTCTTTTCCTATACTACTGTACCGGTTTTCACACTCCTATTCCAATCCTTATACCTTTGCAATTATCTTAGTTAAGTTCTAGTAACCATTTTTCAGACCACTTCTGGAGTATGTCGAAATCCATTTGCAATGCAACACAATATTTTTCTATCCCAACACTTCTTATCAGTATTTCATCATCCGCAAACATTGATTTGAAGGAGACAATTTGCTCTGTCATGTCGTTAACAGGATTAACAGCCTGTTAATCCTGTTATTAGAAGCAGGAATGGCCCAAGAAGCAACCTTTCGCGATACACTTGTAACCTCTTTTCACTCTAATTTCTCTGTTCTCACTATAAATCTTTGTTTCCTGAGAGATACTCTCTGACCCACCATGATTATGCTCGTCCTTTGGAGTCGAATATGACCATGACTTCCATATCAGGTCGAAGGTCGTTGGCCGTGTGTCAGATGATGGAGGATGAGACCAATCTGGGTCCGGAAGGCTCGCCCACACACGGGATATTTGTGGGTGGGTGCTACTGTAGAGGTGGAGGCTGCTCTAGCTTACCACGTGGTGCATTTCCTCTGGGCACCTAGCCAACCTGATCAACCCAGTTGTGATTCGTACGTTAAGCCACAAGCAGCCGTGTCAAACAGCCTGAATGACCAGTCCAGCACCCAGGAGGCAGCATGGTCGGGGACCGGGCCTCGGGGACGTTGAGCCCTGAAATCATCGCAAGGAAACCGCAAGGTAAGGAAAGATGGGCTTTGTAGTCCGTCTATTTTCTGCTACAGGGGCCTCTTAGTTGACTTTACTGTTCCAAGTTGGACAATCCTGAGCAAGCGACTCCCGAGTATTGATGTTGATATCCAAGTCATTGATGGTCACCTTGAGGTAGTTCTTGAATTGTTTCTTTTGCCCCTAACAAAACGTGTGCACTGGCATAGTTCTCCATGCAGTAGCTGTTTCAGCAATCGGCTGTCAAGCATTCTGACAACGCGGCCTGCCAATCTGGCCTGAATTTTCTTTCGGAGGGTGTAGACGCCAGGGAATACTAGACCCTTCTAGGACCCCTGTGTCCTGGATTTTTTCCTGCCACCCGACGTGGAAGAGTCTGCGGAGGCAGCTCAAG